GAATCATGGCTAGACATGGATGTCTAGTCATATTAATGTAATGTGACTACTTGGAGTTTGACTCAGTTGTCCCATTACTTCAAAATGCCGGTTAGCAGCCGCATAAATCACTATTAATGAGGGCAATATCTCATCACTGCATATTTTCCTTAATGTTAAGCAATAAAACCTTAGACCAAACACATAACTACTTTGTTTTAATGTCTTTAAGGTGTGGCCGGTTAGCTTGCCAGATGGATGTGGTGCCGCCGGTATTGAGGCTAGTGTTTCACGGTGACAGACGAGGGTTAATCAGACGTTCCCTCCAATTGTTCAAATAGATTAAAGCATGACCTACTGTAAGTCAGGCATTCAACTTATTCATCAAGTCTGTTAACTATTCAGGGTTTAAACGCACTGACAGCTCTATAACAAAGGCACATCTCAAAATATCACAGTCGCTTACGGGAACTGTGGTGTAGAGATAATGAGCCTCATTACCCGACACAGCGAGTATTGTCAGCTACGATAACAATGCGCGACATAAAAAGATAACAATAAAATACTGTGAGGATGTTTATGTTTTCCATCCTGTTAACAGGTCCTATTATCATTTTCTCTGTTTCGAAAGTGAGAAATCTCAGCACCCCGTCCTCCGTAATAAACAAGTATCAAATGACATTGTCGTTTTGTGATCTTACCGGGTGCAATTTTTGAAGCTATAAAAATGGGTGCTGAAAAGGTTTCATAACTTGATTCCTGCAAAATCAAAGGTTGGGGAAGATGGGATTTTAAGAGGGGTTTATGGCCCAATATTATTCCTGGGTTTTACTTAACAATTCTTCTAATTTTCCTCATGACATGTATTCTACATTTGCATTTTCCTCAAAGGCATTGCCCCATTAGGACTGACAGCTGCTGCGAGTCTCTTTATAGTGGGACCGGCACAGTGACACAACGAGTTTTTCTGGGTTTATATGCTGTTGAGAGATGAGCCCTCAACATGCAGATCAAAGCGTCTTTGTCTTGGCAGCGCTCAAAGACTTCACCCTGACAGTTTCACCCCATGTCAATCACAATCATACAGGGCAAATCGTCAAAGCAAACGCATGTCAACTTAAAGGAGCCACACCAAAACAAAATGTCCTTCCAGTATGCAACACCCTGTGAAAGGAAGCTTTTGAAAAAAAAGGAGAGACACCCAACAGGAACCAAAACATTTTCAGACAAGTATTTTATATTTCAACAACGAGACATAAAGAAGAGCTACGCTGGCATTTGTAAGGTTTTATTAACACTTGACTGAATCATTTTTAACTGGATTTTCATTTTAATCTTAGGCAAAGCCTTTGCCATCACATCAATCAGGATTGTGAATGGACGTTGGATCACAAGTGAGTAAAATGTACTTTCAAACTCAGCTAGTTCTTAGATGAAACTTGCCTCAACGCAAGTCACTAAAGACTTTATTTCAGGACCTTCTGGAGACTGTCTGACTTCCCTACTTGTGTAAAACTTAAAATCAAAGCCCTCTTAATAATGGATTTAGCTGTCAGCTCCAATTTGTATTAGTATGTGGTGAACCTGCTGGTTTGGTCAGAGGCTCTGCTAATAAATTCCTCACACCTCATTAGAAATACAGTGCACCTCATTGCTAAGCCAGGCAACATTAAGCCTTCTCTGCTCTGTAAAGCCTGATGTAAATGCATCAGCGCTGAACTGACCTGCAGTAAAGAGAAACAATGAAAGAGTAGGAATACTTTTCAGTCTTGACATTAATTGTGGATCAAATAATGAGTTGATTGGAGGGAAGTTGAGATTTTTAGAAATGTTATTTTTCAGCAGAGCACGGCTGAGCTGCTCCACAGGAACTGGGCTTCAATAAATAACAACACTCGTGACAAGGCTATGCTTAGCTGAGCATTTAGTGGCCTGGGAATGAGAAAGGCCTCAAAAACCAGCGTCATCGCTGCAGGACAACACACACACACACACACCGTGGAAATGGCAATTTGTACAGCAGACGATGTGCCTTGACAGCACGCCTTTTTGAAATGTTTAGATAATTCCACCACATGATAACTGCTGCCATGAGGGATTACCAGGATCAACAAATGTCGTGACCTACACTATAATCCACACTGTCAGACTATGTGTTTCTGGCCTCATGTGACCTGCCTGGCAGTGCACGCTCCACCAGGGCGTGTCACCCTCACCAGGGTGGCATGACCCTAGATGACAGGGAGCCCAGCTGGATAACAGGCCGACCGTTGGCAGCCTCCAGGTGCCTCAGCCAGTGGCCACCAACTACCAACCACTCCACATCAAACGTAAGCAAAAACGTAGACGAAATGAAGGCGCAGACAAAACAAAAACCAGACAAAATGAAAACAAAGACCACTGTTGCCCTCTCCCTGGCACACCACACTGTTTTTCAGCCTTTTGTTGCCAGCCGCAGACCGACTGAGAGCACTGACACTGAGAGAGCATCAGTGTTTGGCAGCTGAAGCTTTCAAACGCAGCAGATTGAGAACAGGCACTGCCAGAAGGTAAGGCACCACGTGGCGATTGTGGTTTCACAATAGATGAGACGGAGCATTCGCGCCTGAAAGCTCCCTGGTATCCCTGCAGGGAGAAACTGTCTCCACTGAACAGGCATGTTTTCATGACACTGGATCCCTGGCTCACAGCAAACCTCATCTCCTTGTCTTACATTACAGGGCTCTGTGTAACTTTTGATGCCCAAGCAGAAAAAGGACCGTTCATGTAAGACAGCATTCGATATGGGCGAAGCTCCCAGCCGTTAGAAATGGGCCGCAACGATGGGTTACACGCTGCGCAGTACTGGATCCGAGACAAAAACAAGGCTCAACCGGCACATGGCAAACCCATTTGGAACAAAAGCTGGCCTAATTTCCCTAAAGATAAGGGACGAGCCCTGCTCCAAACAGAGACGGCGTGGGCTGCTCTCCTCGTTCCTCCCAAACCACAAAGGTTTGGGATACTGGCCTAGACGCACTGAGCTAAATGGACAGTTGACTGAAATAGGTCAGTCAAAAGTCTAATGGGACGCACACAAGCTACTATACACATGAAATCATTCACACACACACAGAAAAATACCATGGATACACACAGGCCATCCAGCCGACAGGCATTAATAGATGGGTTAATGGGTACTGAGCTATTCAAACAGCAGGCTTTGGTCAAGCATGTTACTCAGACAGGATAATGGAGGGATAGCTAGAGGGGCCGGGAGGTTCTTGAGACCTGGTGGTACCTACTGCAGGGACACAAAATGACAACATTTTTAAGGCGCTGCTTTTCGCCTCCACTGTCTGATAACTACTGTCCACCAGTTTCAACACATGCTGCATTTTATCTTGTGGGCTTTTAGTCGGAGCTTGACCGTGTTGCGGCAGGGATTTCAAGAGTTGTGCAGTATTACATCTAAATTCCTGTAACACAAAAAGTGTTAAGGAATGCAAAGGTCAAACACAGTGAGGTATAATGATAAGTGTTTCAGAAACCTCAGAAAAATATTTCTTTTTAAAAGTAGAGGTTGATAACATAAGAGAAGGGAATGTAATTCATGGCTGAAGAGGCAAAGGGAAATATTTATTTTAGTTAAGCCGAATAGTCGGAGTTCTGCTTGGCTACATTTCAGCAGCTGTCTTTGTCTTTCAGATTGTGCTCAGTTACTGAAAGTATGCACTAACATGAACTGACCTAATCTGCCTTGCAAAGTGAAGCACACGTGTTAACATAGCATTAAAGGTTTGTATGAAGTGAGATTTTCATGTCTTTTTTCGTTATGACGCAGATTTGATTGCTATATTAATACTGTGAAAGTATCAAAGCCTCAGTCCACAGAGAAATGCACACAGCCTGTATTCAGAAACTGAGCCTTAAAACCAGCCGTCAGGACTTCTGTCAATTTATGATGTCAGAACAAAGCAGTCACCGCTCTCAGCCACGCCCCCAAGCCCCGCCCACTTGGACCCACCATCCAACCTTGCAGGATTTGGGTTCTTTGGGAGTGTTTACCGGAAATCTGCTATATTTTAATTTGATCACTCAGAAAACAGTCAGCCAATCAGAAGAGAGGCTCTGAGCTCCTGACTGGCTCACGCCCTGTTGTTCCAGAGAAGTATGTAAAACTACACTGAGATGGTTTTTAGTTCTTAAAAAGTATTGTAATATATATCTTCTTATGGATATCAACACTTCAGATAAAACACCAGGAAAGTGTAAAATACGGGACCTTTAAGTAAATAGTTGTAAGTATCTAATTACCTCAGAAATATAAATATGTGTGAAAGTTACTTTAAAAAAACTAGTTGCAGCAAATTGCAATGTCTGAACCTCCTGCGATATTTGGCATCAGAAATGTTGCTGGTCGATCCACCTCCGTCTGTTTTCGAGTGATTGAGAAGGTGGGGTGGGGGGGGGGGGGGGGGTGAAAGTAATGGGATTAAAGACCGGCAGCTCTTTGTAGTTCTGTGTCAAACTGGTAGACAGGACACACAGGAGCACAAAACCTCCCAAACCAAACAGTCCATCACACAACACATTCATCCAGGAGTTACCGGACAGGAACACTCTCCCACCCGCATGAGAACAAAACATACAAATACATCCACAAACAGGTAGATGCATATAATCACTCGCATCAAGAAGCGTGTCAAAACAAGCTACAAAGCCAAAGGGGAAACTTATGAACACACATACAAAAAAACACACACACACGGAGGCAGTGATTGACAGCTCGCATTAAAGTAAGGGCAGGCCCGGGCATAGCAGGAGGAGGGGTGACGGGAGGCAATTAGAGGCATTTTTTAGATGGTAATAGCTGTGTACAAGCCCTACAGTCTATAAAAGCTATTCATAGCAGGCGAGCAGATGAGCATAGCAATGAAAATGGTTGGTCCGTGTGCCCATGATACGGCCCCGAGGGCATGGAACGGCAGAGCAGGGAGAGAAACAGAAAGAATGATAAAGGAGTGGCAATAATTCCTTACTCTGGCATGAAGGGATGTCACAGTATCTCCAGTAGATCCCGTCCTCATGATCAGCAATGTAGCACCACGGCTGAACATCCCCGTCGGGATTCCTGCAGACACAGAGGGGTGAAGGTTAGACCGGCTAAGCTGGTTAAATGGGATAATGTTGGGGGGGGGGGGGGTTTTCCTCTTCATTTTGGTTTCTGGTCCAAAATAATAAGCTGTTTTTTTTTTTTTGTTTTTTTTTGCAGCCAAAATGGAGCTTTTGAAAAACTACATCCAGAGTGGATAAAAGCAAAAACACTGGTCTTGTATTGCAGTGGAGCTGTGATCACTCATTTTCACGTTCAACACAACCACATGCAGGATATGACAATTTTGTGATTACAAAATTGGGGTCTGGGTTTCTCAGTTATTGTGGATGTCACTTCAGACATGTGTTGGGGAGGTGACGAAGGTTAAAACAAAAGAGAAGGTAGAGAAACGTGGAGGGAGGTACGGAAGGGAGGAAGGGGCGATGGTGGGGGATATGAAGGCAAAAAAAAAAAAACAACACAAAGACAGGCTATCAACTGAAAGCCCCGCTGCAGAGGGCTGAACACTCAATAATGTTTCAGAGGCAGATTATCTCGGCTGTGTCAATCATTCCCTCTAGCCCCCGTTGGCGCTTGTTGGTTTAGCGACTTCCTCTGCGCTCTATAGGCTTGACCATGCATGTCAGTCAAGGGCCAGACCAAGGGGTCTTTAATGGGTGGAGGCTTCTTTGTTCCAGGCCAGATACAGACCTGAAAAAAGGGATGCGTGATGGGGCAAAGCTTTTGTCTGAGGCAGCAGCCTCTTTTGAACCTCATCGAGGCACTTTTAACCCGTCATAATACGACTGACAGGCCCCTCGGTGCTTTTGCTTTTCAGTTTCACTTACAAAAGCGATGAAGAGTGGGGTTGAAGATAGAAATACCTAAAAAGCTTTGTGCAGGCTCCATATCTCCGGGGTAATCATGCAACTTTGTAAATTGTGACCGTTGTGACGACTTCTAAACTGCTGATAAATTAAATCAAAGCAGCAAATATACAGAGGGAGCTCATCTTCGTGCTATTTCAGTTCTTCAAGCTCTATTTCAGGATTACTGAGAACTGTAAAAATACGCTGCCCGTCGACTCAAAAACCCTTCTGAGATGACAACACTATTTTTTTTTTCAGCGCTGACTGTAATTGCCAGAGACCTTTTCTCTTCCTTTTTGACACACCTCATTGTAGCATCTTGAAACAGCCCCGCGGCACTGCACTATCCTGTTTCGCCTTTTGTGAGCAAAGTTGTGAAGGGCGTTTCCATTTCTTTTCTTCTCCTATCAAAAACACTATCCCGAGTTTCCTCCTCTCTTTTCACACTCAGAATGAGGTATTGACAAAGATGTCGTTGTTAAGACTTTTTTTCTGGGTTGAACTCAAGTTTAAGTGCCTTAAAGCTTTTCACTCTCAATATCTGGTAAACAGTTACCGCTGTCTTCCTTTGCAGCCTGTCGGCAAAAGGAATGTGTGAAGAAAGAGTTTATCTAGTCACATTTTTCTTTATTCTTTATTCTTCATTTTACGTCTCTGCCATCAAAGCAACCTCGAACCTCTCTCAGCCCTGACATTTTCCCATGTTCACAAGACTCCAGCCTTGTTTCCCAGTAAATTTCAACACCGTATCATGAGCCCAGATCTGTTTGTTACTCCACCCAGATCGGAGGCAGACACCTGTTTGTTTAGCCCGAGGCTACGACTGAAATGGCTGAAAAGAGCTAAAAACTGGGTCCAGCCACCAAAACATTGGATTATATACCCTTCCTCTGTGTCTCTCTCACCTTCTCTCTTTCATGCCTGTCAACGTCTAATAGCCCCATTTGAAATAAGACTCCCAAGAACTCATCTAAGGCCACTTATGTAATTTACTGCAGTTTCTTAATCACCCCCGAAGGAGGCAGACATGAATTACAACCATCACCATCGGCAGGCCACCCATCCCATGTCTGACCCACTGGTATCCTTGATTAGTAAAAGATGTGGTGAGCCCGTCTGAGCTTTCTCCCAAACCCCAGTCCCCAAGTTGTGTTTCTTCCCCCCCCCCCCCTCCCCACGTGTCTCTCTCTTTATCTCACCCACACCTGCACACACCCTTTAAGCAGAAGCTTGGGAACATCATCCACAAGGCTAAAGTGAACAGGCCAGCCCACATGACAGAGAAACATCATCAATCCTGCCCCAGGTGCCTGTGTGTATACGTGTGTGTATATGCCTGTATATGTGTGTGTGTGTGTGTGTGTGTGTGTGTGTGTGTGTGTGTGTGTGTGTGTGAGGGGAGGGAGGATGGATCAGAAGTTGGAAAGCAGACAGTGTCAGATTAGCCGATGTGCCACAGTGCAGATAAGAGCAAACCTTGATGAACGGAAATCCATTCGTTTAACTTGGCAGCGCAGAGAAAGACTTCGGTCCTTGTGGAGACACTCTGATAAATGTTGCTGCCAGTGTGCATGTTTGAATATAGATATATTTGTGTTACACCCACACACAACACCAACACACACACACACACCACATATAATATATATATATATATATATATATATATAAATATATGGATTTTGTGTGTGTGTGTGTGTGTGTGTGTGTGTGTGTGTGTGTTCGGATGTTTTGGAGGGGGGGGGCTGCATTCACATCTATGTGCGTCAGAGATGGCCCGCTTGGCTCTGAGTAGAGGAGCTTGTTGAAACACTCCCATACCCAGAGGTAGATCACAGAAGATGTTTGGACACTTAATTGGCACAATTACGCTGATTGACTCATTTTGCTCGGAGTGAGCCACACACTTCGGTACAGAGCCAATTACAGCCACATTGGGTTTTGCCTCTTGGGCTCTCCGGGTTCTGCATTTGAAGGCTCACATCTGAACACAGAGAAAAACAGCTGTTCTTGGCTGGCTGCTGTTCAAAAGGTTTCCCTTTAATAACCTTTTTCCACGTAACTTAATCAGAAAATTTATGATCATCTTTGAAATGCGCTGGCGCTGTGAAAATACATATAAAAATTTCTTTTTAAAAATCGCAAAATTCTTTACATCAAACTATGTGAGCAAACGCTAGGAACAACATGTTTCCAGTTGTTTTTAACAAGTTAAACTTTAAGTGAGATTGTAGACTGACTTTCGTTTGGTTAAACTGGTAGACATGTAAGGAGAAAAAAAAGAAAAGATGAAAGCTAAACTTCCCTCACTTTACAGAAGTGGAGAGAGGAGAAATGCTGATTGGACAGTGGTGGTGAGCGGCTTGTCTGGATTGGGATTTGAGGTCAACAGCAGATCAGAGTCTGGCAATTTACTGCCTGAGAGAAGACTCTTTAATTGACTTGGATGATTTAGCATGCAAACTGCTGCCTGCTGCTGCGCTGCATGAATGCATGTATTGAAGACGAGGGGCTTGTTGGTGTGGGCCGACATGTATAGTCTACTGTCTATTGTCGTTCTCTCACGGTCCACTTGCGCTAAATACGAGGTCTTGATGCTCCTGTGTCATGTGTGGCTGATTAACACACCACGCTGCTCCTTCACTAATGTCTTCAAAGGAGCAATTCACCTAAATTACAAAGGAACTCTTTCTTACCTACATCCGTTGGTATCCAGCCATTTATATAATTTTGGTTTTGTTTGCCCAAGATTTAACAAATCTGTTTCTGCCTGCACCACATCACAGTGCACATTTTATTTGTAGCTCTCCCAGCATTGAGAAATTATTATACAGCAACTGTGTTTCCAGAAAAACAACCCCTGTCACTTTGGGTAATCTACAGAGCAGACAGTTTTCTGTGAAACCATTTCTTCAGCAGAAAGTAGTTCCAATGAAAACGTTGACATTGAGGCTTGAGGATTATCCACAGTTACCAGGGCACTGTTTATGGAAAGATAAGACAATATTGATGTTTTTTTTGTTTTTTTGAGCACCACAAACAAAATGGGAGGAGTCATTCCAGATGCCTGCGCCTCCTCCGGGCAGCGATTCATGACTCAACGGCTGGAGCACACCGAGTCCACGGCTTGGAACGGAGACTCTCCCACTTAAATCAGAAGAAGATTAACTGATGCATCAGAAAGTATCTGGCCGTTTGAGAAAGAGTGACAGGTACGAACCTGTGGAAATAAAAGCTTAGAGGTAGAAGTTAAATATGAGTCACGAGGAATCAGTGATGGGCAGAGCTAATGAAGCTAAAGACAACACAATCTACAGGTTATTACTAATTCAGCAACTATGGTGCATATGACTGTACACAAATTCAACGACAAAGCATTTTTAAATTTGTCACAGCCTCTTACTGGCTTCTCTCCCATAGCAACAGTTGTCGTGGCTCATGGGTATTGTTGTGCTTTGACCCACGATTTCTCAGAAATAAAGCTGAAATGATTAGAAGTGGCGAGTTATAACATAAACACAATGGGAAGAAATAAATCCAGAACCAGCTGCTGACTGAATTCACAATGGGCAAATAAAACCAAAACTATGTGCGTGGCTAAAAACCAAGTTCAGAAACATGTTTGTTTATAATTTGGGTGAACGAGGCCTTCAAACATATACAGGGGCACATTTTATTTCATGACACAGGTTCCTACGTCGATTCTGAGATTACTATGATGTTGATGGCTGATGCTTTAGCACCACACAGTACGTCTTCTCACGGGACACTTCTATTAACTTCCTCGATTTAACAAAGCAGCGAACGGGGAGGGGGGGCGGCGGGGGGGGGGGGGGGGGGTAACTTTGCTTGCAGTTTGCCTGACCTCAGATTTGCACCTGACATCGTGGAGGTTCAATTACAATCAACTTGGGGAACACACTATTCACTCTGGCATTTCCATTATCTCATCTATGTTAGGGAAAAGCATTAGAAGCCATAGTGGACACTCATAAATTCTACAGTACACACACACACCTGCATATAAATAGACAGGAAATGGCTGGCAGAGCTATTCAACCACCCACCGAACTGTCACGCTCGTCACAATCTAATACTAATGCGTCCATGGAGGGAGTCCAATAGGAGCCCAGGAACAGTAGATGAGAAGGAACAATAAACTAAATATAAATCAGAACTTCTATTAGTGGGATGTTGTTCTTATGAATGTCATGAAGTGTTAAGAAAAGGTCAAAGAAGTACTTCAGAACTGGAAAAAAAACAAAAAAAAAACATTAGGTTTAAATGTAAAAGAGCAAAGCGAGGTCCGAGCTCAATACCAGACTGAAGAGCAGATTATTTACTTCTACTTCCGAATTCTGAACCAAACCACGCAGACGATTGGTAATGTGATAGTCACTGCTGAAATGAGTCTCGCTAAGTCTCAGCTTAGACACGAGAGCTCTTGTCCTTTTCCTGAGGCTTTGTGCTCCTTTTTCTTTTGCAGGGGAATAATGTGACATTTCCCTCTGCCCAGTTCTCCCTGTTTTCACTGGGGTATTTTATAGCAGGCAATAAAGATGAAATGTGGGGGCTGTTAGGGCTCTTTCTCCAGCACCACTGTGATGACCTCTCGACTAAATCACCACCGGGGAGGAGAAAAAAAAAAAAAAAAGAGCCAGTGATGGGACGAGAAGTGAGTTCGTAATCCTCTGCTTCTCAACATCCGATACGTGCTTAGAGCCGTGTTTTAAAGTTAAGCATGCGGTGACTCCATGGCTTCACATTATCCACCTGTGCCTCGGCCTCAGCTCCCATCTCATTAAACCACATACTGGCCCTCAGGTTCAGACATGCCAAACACTGCCCCGGCTCTCCTCCCCTCCTTCTCGATTTCATTCTGCTACCACCCCCTTTTTGTCTACGAATTACCACCAGCAATGATCACCTGACAATTCTGGCCAGAAATGTCTGCAAAAATATAAGCCTCAGCTGAAAAGACAACCAGGAGATGAGAAAGAGTTTGAGGGTTAAAGGGGGTTAAAGAAATACTGGAAGCAGAATTTGAATTGCAAAATGTAAATTCATGTAAATCAGGAGATTTGCAATCCAAATTGAGCAACAACGTCCAAAAGAGTTCCCCACATGGCTGAAAAAAAAAAAAAAAAACATTGCACAAGCCAACTTCCTGTGAGCAAACAACTCAAACATTACACATCTTTCTCTGCAGTGGGATAACCCTCTCCTCTGCGGGCACGTACATGCTAACATGTGCACACAGCAACACACAAACACACACACACACACACACACACACACACACACGTGACGGACACACGCACAAATACTTGACCTTAGTGCAGACATGCCATAAATGCCAACCCTCATCTTTTCACAATGAAGTGGCCACTTTCGGTCCCAATAGCGCCGCAGATGAGCGATGATTTACAAGGAGGGTGGGTTGTCTGAGAGAGAGAGAGAGACTGAGAGTGGCTGCAGCTACGGCCCTGTGTGACAGAAATCCCTCTGTCAGGAGAGAAACAAAGCTACGAGCTGTCAGTGAGTCGGAGTAGCTGCGAACTGCATTGGTGGCCAAAAAAACAGCCAAATCCAAACAATGAAGATGTCCATTCTGAATCGCTTGTTGGATACAATACGCTCCTAATGTGCAGGGAAAGCCTCCCTCAATCCTCTGTATGTATCCTACTCATAAATCTCCTCAATTCCCATCCAGCTCAAGTAAAAACAAATCTGTCCAGTGCCACTTCAAAGCATTGCTGTGTTATGAGTTTACAACCATGACTTAGAGAAATGTTTCAGAGGCTTTGGGCTGAGGAGGAGGAGGGGAGTTTGGGGGGGGGGGGGGGGGTTTTGGCCGATCCGGGCCAAGCCACTGTTCTGGACGTCTCGGTGAATCTGAACTGACTCACGAAAGAGTGCGGCTCCCCTGCAAATACATAAGTTTGACAGTCGTGCATACAACGCTGACAGTCGTACTTTGGAGTGTGACGAACGGACAGAAAGGGTTTTTCTAGACACCCGAAGCCACTGCGTCCCTTCACATTCCAGGGATGAGGGATGGAGATTTGCTTACACAAACTCTCCAAGCGTGTTTGCGTCCTTGTGATGACAAGGCTAAACGCTCTGTTTGGCTACCACCAATAAAACATTCAGAGGCGGGTGTCTGAGCAGGTCCCCTGTGCTCTAAACGACAACGACCTGGTTCTAAATTATTCAGAAAGTCAAATGCTTTGTCGAGGAAGTTCAACACACTGTCAAACATCAGTATCTTAGAAAGATGGATTTTAAAGATGCTACTCAAAGCAGTTTTACATTAATAACATAAATCATCATTATATTACAAGATAGCGATTGGCAGCCGTGCACTGTGAGCTGCTGCTTGGGGTTTTGTGATAAATCAGCTGAATCTCTACCACAAAAGGAGATTGCCTCACAATAAAAAAAAAAAAAAACAAGAGGGAACAGTTGTTTTTTCTTCCAGGCAGCTGGAGCTGAAGCTTACTTGAAATGCTGAGCTCTCTGAGTGAACTCTTACCCTTAGCTCTGTACGCAGCGCCTGTAAAACACATGGAAATGGACAGGGACCAGCAGGACGGTCTTACAGGAATCATACCACCACATATGAATCAATTAATAATAAATACACTTATGTGTAAAATGCTGATGAGTGCGACCTCTGGGGAAAAGTGATCTGTTGCTGCCTTTTACGTAAATACAAACTAACTCTAACTTTCCGAAAACTTCCAACTGGGCAAAATGTTTTCTTCGGTCTCCGTCACTCCCTCCTCCGTTGAGCTCCACATGCTCCGCTGTATGTTGTGTCTACAAAACAGCTGTTTACCGCTGTATAACAAAGACGTTAAACAAAACGTATTAGACATGAAATGTTCTCTTGAAAAGACGGCGGACTGCTGCTGATGAGTCGTTTTATGCAGTGTTGGATATTCACAGGCTTTCCGCCCATATGCAAATGTAATATATGTGTATATAATAAAACATATGGAAAAATTAAATATGAAACTTGTTAGAAATTGAAACAATTTCATATTTTGGCATATACGTCTAGCCCATAAAAATATGTATGTTTATGTATGTATGCTTATATTGTAGACATATGTTACATAAATATAACATATAAAAGCATATAGATTTTGGTTTAGTTTGTTTTAATAAACTTGTATATATATATATATATAAACTGAATACATACATATATGGTGGCAACATGTTATACCACATAAAGATTCATCATATAGATATTTTTTTAAATATTTATACATACAAATTCTACTATGGGTGTTTCATATATGTTATAAATGTATATCTTCATATATTCAGAGGTATTTATGTGATAATAATAATATATCCGCTTATATGTGACATATATGGAAACATCACTCTTCATATAGGGACATACATGTCATATATTACATTTCTGGTTTTGTTGCAGAGGTTCCCAAGACAAGACATCTTAAAGGAAAAGTTTGACATATTGGGGAATAAACTTAAGTGTAAAATCAACAAAACGCCATTTTATGGGGGAGTTATGTGTTGGACTATTTCTCATTCAGAACCTTTAACCTGTGACCTATCGCCCCACCCTGCCACCCAATACTCAATCCCATGAACTGCTATAATAACCTGTGGGTCACAACCATATTATTTGACATTAAAACTCAACAAACTTGGTTTGCTAACTTCTGGTTTCATCATTTTTAATAGGTAAAACCTTCACATATCAGTAAACTTCCGGATCAAGAATAGGGACTGACCTGCAGTAGTTGTGGCTGCCCAAACCGCCCTCTCCGTTGGGGTATTTGAGGGTGTTGTAAGGGTGCTGGAAGGTCTCATTCCAGAAGAGACAGGGTTTACCTCCATGCAGGCTGGTCTGGTTCTGGAAGCCCCTGTAGTCTTCTCCGTTGGCAGTGTAACACTCTGGAAACAGGGAGAATGAAACGGAGAGAGTGAGAAAAATGAAACAAAATCGAAATCTGGTGCTTGCTATAAGGGATTAGATGTCTGTTAAGATGGAAATCAAAAGCTTGGCCAGAGCTTTTACACAGGCGTGTAAAAAGCAGCCACATATGTGACCCGCTTTATTGAGAATCTGGATTCTGTGAAATGCTCTTGTGCTATTAAAATGTTTTAATGTGTTTGGAATGATCATAGACGATATGTTTGGAATAACTGTATTCTTTGCCCAGGCACAATTCATTTCAAGCTCTGGCCAAAAAGTGTTAAGTGTTAGAGGAAGATCAATCACAGTATTGTTTCAATTAATGTCGACACATGAGCACAGAAAGAAAAAAAAAAAAAAAAAAGGCCCCACAGATACGCAGCAAAAAAAAAAAAAAACACCAAACATGGCTTGAATTTCCAGGAAGTGTATGACAACCATATGGCCAAGTCAAAGAGCGAGGGAGTGAGAAAGAGAGAGAGCCGGGTTCCCAAGGCAAAACAATGGTTGGTGAAAGGCTTTTCTTCCCCGAAAGAGGGAATTCAAATAAACAATGGCTGATGGGAGCGTGATGAGCCATCACCGCTCATCGCACTGAGCCTCAGGGGAATCCTGTCAGGAGATTTCTTACCCGCTTCCACTGAATTCCTCTTTTGATGGTATTACAAAGGAAAATATAAATTTATGATGTGACTGTTATGATTACTCATTGCTCATTACTCATAATTGCCATGACTGTTGACAAAGCAGGACACCCCTTCAGTGTAACCAGTGGGGATAAAAACAGGCTTTTCACTCGCTACATATGATATTAACTTGCAAAAGATGCCACAAGGCCGCAGCTTGAAGTTCTGATACATATGATATATATATATATATATATATATATGTATATTGTTTCATTCTTAAAAGATTTACACATAACAAATTCAACTGCGATTAAAAATGTCAAGCAACAGCACATGGAACTACTACAACAATTTCCCCATCACGCCTGTCAATCAAACGTTAATAAGAAAAAAAACAATACTCGCTTGTTTGGCTCGTCTCCATGGGGTCTTGTTGCTATGTACGCGGTTAGCCAATGACCGGCCCCTTTCATCAAGTCAAGCTGTCTGGGCTGAGTATGAGCTAATGCATTGCAATACAACAGTCATTATACCCCTTGGTGAGCCAGCTGTGCAACAAGCCTCTTCCTCATTTTCTTTCCAGTTCAAGGTTTCCTAACTTCCTCTCTCTCTCTTCCTCTCTCTTATCATCTCTCTCACCTTCCTCTACTCTTTCCTCCTCTGCTGCTTTTGCCTCTTCTGTCATCCCCTTTCAACTCACACACAAACAAACATGTCTTTGGGGATCTCTTTGCCTCTCTGCCTTGTAATGCAACTTCTGTAGTCTGTTGCCAGGGTCCATGGCCATGGCAACCTCTGGAGGTTATTCCTCAGGTCTAGTGGAGCTTGGAAACATCAATAAATCAATAATTCACAATAATTTACAACAAAAACACTAAAAAAAAGGCTTATTTTCTTATTTGTAAGATCAATAACAACATGTCAATAAACTAACCCTAACACTATGTTGGAAGTGAATAAATGTAGAATTGTGGGACCTAAAGCTTCCCGTACTTTCTTACATGCACCATTTACATGCAAACACGCATTCCATCCTCGCACATCCACCACAAAAGCAGCACTAACACTTAATTTTAGCGTAAATCACAGACTGCTCTCGGTCTGTCAGCCAAAAGTTGCGTTTAATTAAAGTTGTTTCGGCCGTTTTGTTCACTCAGGCTTATCAGCACATCCATCGTCTGGCTGACAGGAGCTCAACAGCAGCGAAGGGAGACGCAGGGTGTCCGGTGACTGCAATTATGAAGCCACTCTATTGTCTGTAAATGGCTCTCCTCTCTCTTAACAAATTAATACTGCCTCTGCATGCGAGGATATCAGCCACCGCATCGTAAATCCACCTGAGAGGGGCTGAGGCAGAACACGACTCCATAAAAATATAAAAACAGCTTAATGGTGTTACAACAGGGGTCGTGCCCTTGCCAGCCAAACATGAGGGAGCAATGAGAGGGGTGGAAGGGAAGAAGTTATCGGCTGGCTGACACCCAGAGGACAGGCGATGTGTGTAAAATAATGCACATTCGGACAGTCTGAATTGCTGCACGTGCGAAGGACTCAGATGATCCGCGGCAGCAGGGAGTGTTCTGATACCAACGTTAGAGCCAACCGCCCTGAATGATGGTATTTGGATATGCATTGTATCATATGATATATACCAATTTGTGAAGATGGGAGTCATATGATGAATTTTTCTGGAAGCCAGCAGCCACGGATACAGACAGAAAGAGAAGGAAACATTGCTATTGAGAGTTTGGCAGCAGCACAAGCGCAATCATGAGTCACTGCTCCCCAAAAGCAATCACGACTGCTGCTGCCCCAGTCAGAGAGGATAACATCAGGCAGGGACAGGGCAGCCGACTGCATCCCAAATGAGCTCACGTCCTTCAAATATCTCCTCCTCAAAAAGAACGGGTATTAAAATGACTGAACTTGGCTGCATGCAGCGCTGCTCACCGCACTGTATCAAAAAGAAAGAGCCAAATGACTTTGTAAATGTCTCCTCTCCTCCTTCAGGAAACTTTACTCTGGAGTCTCAGGATGAAGCAGAGCTTGCCTGCACATGGTCCGCTTGGAACGAGCTGCTGCTGCTGGCAGCCGTCCCGCCGTGCTGCAGCCAAGTTAGCTTTCCAGGATGAGATGGTAAATATGGCAGCGTTTTGCCACCGGGAGGGAGATGGGGGGGGTTTGCTCTATGTGGTTTTTAGGCACCATTTGCTTGTGGTGGGAATGGGAAGTAGCAGATCTGCAAGGACTCAGAGATAAGTGAGGCCATCGTAAAGATGAATGGACCATTTAAGAGCCCTGCGGACGGCCACACATCTATTACACTAAGGAGCAAAGGCCAATTTTACATCGGAACGTGTGGATATGGGCATTTTATCCTTGTCCTGGGAGAAATGAAGAGCTCATCTGCTGATTGGACCATCATCACTTCAGACCCGCTCCCCTCTGAACACGCCCGAGCCCCCACCTAACACCCCTTTATCCTTGTCACCAAGCAACTGTTGCGCATTCGTCACATGGGCCTGGGCTTTCGTGTGGTTTCATCATAGGCCGTGATGGGAAACAGAACCACCACCGCATGAAAGAGTGAGAGAAGGAGGGGGGGAAGCCTCTTATAAAATACATGCAGATCTACAAATAGAAAAAGTCCGGGAAAGGAAAGAGGAGGACTCGCCCTTGACCAAGCCCTGCGCTCACAGAATACTGCACCACCCCGGCAACAAGAGAGAGCGAGGGAGAGAGAGAGGGAGAGAGAGAGGGAGAGAGAGAGGAAAAAGAAAAACAGCAGAGGAGAGAGCTAATCGCCCTGTTATTATATTTGTTGGGATTTGTGGCTAATGACTTCCATATTGCAACTTCAAATGCACTTGATGCTCCGAGAAAGGAGGGTTTGGGGAAGCGGCGGGGTGGGGGTAAGGGGCTCTGGTCATGTGATCGCAAGAACACAAACAAACAAGCTTACAAATAAATGTTGCCAGGTCACACAAGAGCACTTATTTGTTGTGTTTGCTACGAGGGATGAAAAGCAGTGATAATTACAGACGACTGCTTCCTCACAGAGGGCTGACATAAAGACCTTCCTTCCATCTTTATTATATGCTTGGAGCTGTGGGGACAGCAAAACAGGCTTAGCGCATGAGCAATATTTCCACTATTATAAAATGACACAGAGTAAAAGTTTATGATGAAAAAACATGCATGTACAGTATTGGGCAAGAAAAAAGGCCAAACGCTGCGAACACCAAGCTGCAAACTAAATATATACAAGTTCCAGAGCCCTTCCAAAGATGACAGACACGGCAGATTATTAATACGCAATCTGCCACAGTATATTTCCCCTACAGTGACCTGGTAGCCATTACTGTTGTGGTGCTCATTAATGTCAGTGTAGTAAGAGCAGAGGGCAGGGCCAGGCCAAACCGGGCCAGATGTAGTGGGTTACAGAGTTCTTTTCTGGGGGGGGGCACAGCTGGCTGCAACACAAGTCTGGTTCCCCTTTTCCCCCAACAGCATCCATTTCCACATCAAAACCACATCAGACTTCAGAGGATCGCAGGAAGACTGCTTCGCATTTATTATCCAGGTTTTACAGATAGTCACAGATTCAGCGAGGCTCTTTTAATGAAGTTGGATATTGCCGAGGAGAAGTCAGTGACTTCTCAGAGAGGGGGGGGGGTGGGGGGGGCAGGGGATGGAGGGTGGGGGCAGTTGGCAGTTAATGGACCACACCTTGCCCGCTCCTCTGATCTCTCCTCTCCCGTAAGATTGTTTTGTTTTTTTTTTAAAGTGCCCTCATGCGAGCGAGAAAGTCGATGAAAGTGCACAAAAAAAAAAAAAAAACAATGTGATGAGAACAGACGCCTCTAACTAGTTAAATCTACAGACAATGATTTGTCAATGGGATTTTACACTCCTCCTTTTAGTTTCATGCGTTTGTCATAGGTTATAGCCGCAGATAACCAGGCCATAAACCAAGACCTCATTCAGTCCCAAAAATAGCCTCCATCGCCACCATTCTTCCTGCGAAAACCCTCCGCTGCACCACCTCCTGAGTTCACTACCACAGTAGCCACAGACCCACAAGACTCCCTGCCAAAGTTGCTGGGTAGCACCTATAAAACATGGCCCCATCTCATTCTAGTGTGGCCCCTATTATTTAGCTCTGTAATGGAAAGAGTCTAATCTTCTGGAGCCAGCGGTGGGCTTAACACGCTGCCAAAAAACCCCTCTGTTTGAAGTTGCTCGTCACAAAAATGGAAAGCATAAAAGGCTTTTTTTTTTTTTTTTTTTTTTTTTGTTGCCACAAGCTGCTCTCTGGCCCTAAATTTAAGTGTTAGGTCTCGGTGGAG